ACACTCCTCTGTTAAAACTGTCTGTGTGAAGTCGGTGCCTGTTTCCCTGTACATGGACATTTGCTTTGCTTTTGGCCTCTTTTTTTTTTTTTTTTTGCTATTACAGATATCATATCTTTTCTTCACACATGAGCGTTCTCTAGAGAATATGTTTAGGAGAAAAGTGGCTGCAGTGTGACAATACCGAGTAACTTTCCAAAGTCAATACAGTCTTAAATAGAACAAACAGAATTTGAGAGCTGAACTAAGTTGAAAGACTACGTTCACCTTACATTATGCAACTGTGTGCTTTGAAGAACTGAAGCAATGGCTAGTTAGACTGCACCTCCAACCCAATCTAGAAATCCCTTCAACAGTATTCCCAGGAGAGCGTCAAATTACCTTTTCTTGAACTCTTGAAAAAAATCCATAAGGAAAGCTTGAGGCTATCATGATCATCCCCTTTGTGATTCAAGAACAATTTTGAGGGGCGAAAAAGCATAATTGGTTCTTTTCATGGCACTGCTGAAGCATGCACTAGTCTCCTGGGATGTGTGGCAAAAGGCAGAAGGGACAGGTGATAAAGGCAGCACAGGAGTTTGGGAGCAGATCCCAACAGAATGCTTCCCCTGCTAAGAACCTCTGCATTGCGTGAGGGCCATGGGAAGCACTAAATAGGCAGGATAGGCAGGAAAGACGCACTCCCAGTTGTCACTTTCAGAAACTCATCCAATCCATTGTGTCCTAAGTTACAGCAGAGGGATAGAAGAGCGAAAGGTTACAGTGACCCTGCAAGGAGGAAGTGGTGACCAAACGAAGTGAAACTAATGCTGCAGTAAGTTACTTGCTCTCATAGTTGAGTAGGGAAGCTGGCATAGAAGTGGCAAAGGATACCTACAGGCCCTGCTAATCTTGAGCATCTGTTTCTTTGTCAGTAAAATAGGGACAATAATAGTGCCCAGCACAGAGAATTGGTATGAAAATAAAAAATGTCTTACAACTGAAGAGTTCAAGGTCTGGGTCACAGTGCATGAGTGATTCATAGTGCCCAGTACATGTTGGATATCCTTAATCTTAAGGAGCTGTTGACAGGATTTAGTGATGACAGTAGTTAGGGCATAGTAAAATTCTATTGCCCAGAGATTCCAAAATGCATCACAGTGAAAACAGAACTGAATTTCACATCTCTTATCCAAATGACTGTCCGAGAGGTGGGGGCGTAACTGACTGGCAGGCATTCTATCCCACACAGTGACTTCGAGCCTTAGATGACTCCACTATTACATGAGACCTTGTTCTGTTCTGTTCCATTTGGGAGAAAAACAAAAGTCGCCTCCATTTCTTAATATTCTGACCCTAAACCCAGGCACAGCACTCCTGTTCACATCCTGTCAGTGAGACCTACCCATACAGTCACAGTGCGATGCAAGGGATGCTGGAAAATGAAGTTCCTTCCCAGGCTGTTCTGTGTGTGTGATATGATAGATACCTGGTGGCTCCCTTGGCCTATACCACAACCTATGCATATATTTTGCCCATGCAGCAAGTTAAGGAAACTAAATGTCCCCACATCTTCTGGGGTGTGAGTCAAGGGAATGGGAAACCACCCCTGGATGCCAACCATAGCTCCACCCAAAAGAAAGGGAGAAGAACTTGTGGTAGAGAGTTGGCTACCTCTACAGCAGACAGTAAATTTAAGCTCAACTCACGTAGCTCAACTCAATGCCTAGTAGAATGGGAGGTCCTTGAACACACTCCTCATGCACCTTCCATTTTCTGCAGGACTTCAGCTCCAGATCTAGAGTAGGACCTGACACCTAGAAGATGCTCAAATAACCACTGTTAACTGAATATGTACTGTTTATGGGACCAACATTCACTGTTTAAATACATGTTGAATGCCTTTCATGAATCAACCACTGTGCTTAAAAAGCATGTCTTCCAGCTCAATAGTACCCTACAGCCATTTTAAGGTGTATAGCAGCCAATTCTATAGATAAACTAAAATTGAAATGTCAATGAAGTAGTCACAGTATGTGGTTAAGAACTTGCATTTTTTTAAACATATTGATTACTCAAAACCATGTCAGTTAACTCCATAATGTTGTAAATTGTTGTTGATGTTATGTTGTGGCTTTTAATTGGTCGGGATGATATTCTGCCAGCTCTGCTTTCAGACCAGAGATGGTCTCCCCAAGAAACTGTTGAATTTATCTGGACAATAAGATGCTGGACTCTATGTTTGGTATATGTTTGCAATGAAAGAATCTTGACTGGATTTGAACTGTAATACTGCAACAAGGTGGAGTAATCCACCATGGGGGTAGGGTATGGGGAGCGGTTGGAGGAATCCCAGAGCCTATGAAATGGTGTCACATAATGCAATGTAATTAATAAAAAAAATTAAAAGAACCATGGTGAAAATGAAGAGGGAGGGTGGGAATGAGGGACGGGGGAAGGTGTGGTGGAAAGTATCATTTTGTTCTTAGAACTGGATACATGTAACACAAAAAGCCATGTATTCCAAAATGTTTCAAATCATTGACAATGTATATATAAGCATAAAATATTTATATAAAAATAAAAAAGAAGCATGTCTTCTCCCCTTGTGGCTAGAAATCTTAATAGCACCAATGACACTAGCAATCACAAAATCTGAAATCCTCTGCAAGAAGCGAATCATTTGGGATCTGTCAACCCTCACCTTCCCTCTACAGGAGCTGAGAATCTGGCACCCAAAAAAGAGAGATTAAATTCCCTCTTCAGGCTGTTGCTCCTGGAATCTGCTGAAGGCCCCCATGTTGTCCATGTATTGTAGATCTCCCCGACACCCAAACCTGACAACAAGCCATTACATTCCCTGAGAGAAGACCTAATTATGCTGTTGACAACAGCCTACAATTTCTTGTGCACTAAGTGAGGCTCCGTGGGGTTTTAATTCTCCTTTTCACAATACAGGTTCCTGTCTTTTAAGCATCTCCCCTCCTCCTGGTTCTGCCAGCTCTGTCAACATTACAGGGCAGCAGACGCAATGACATTAGGGTTGCCATGGATGATTCTAGTGGCTGTATTGATTTCTGTGTTATGACTGTTCCCAAAGAGCCACTAAGAATCATCAGGCCCTGAGGGCTTGCCAGGATAAAAGGAGAGAACATAAATGGACATTTTTTCCTTCAGGGAAATAATAACTGCAAACAAATTAGCATTAGAACCCAGTCTCAGAGGCATTTATTACAAGAGACCATGAAATACAAGCACAGCAGTACAGGGCATATAATGTTCAATACAGAAGAAATCAAATGGCAAAATAACCTAAAAAAGAACCTAAAAGTTAAGGAGGCAAGCATATTTTCTAGGGAATGTAAAGACACTAGCTCTGCGAAATTAAAATCCCTAGGCCACAATCTCCTAACCCCTGTCTTTCAACGGGTGTGAAAAGTTCAAAGTTTCAATCAACGTTGGTTTTGCTTCATAGAGGAAAAAATGTAGACACATAGAGAACACATATGACTTATCACAACAATTGGTAAGAAGGTATAAAAACTAGGCCATGTCTTTATAACTTTTAAAAAGAGTATTTGGAAACAAAAAGCCAGTAAAATCATTTGTAAGTTCTCCATGACACCAACACGCAATAGCCCAGTGAGTCCCCTAAGAATGCCACATGAGATGGGACCCACACTCTGTCTGCTGAAGCTGCTCGTCTTCACCCATTGCTGCAGGAAGCCCAGGCCCAGCACCACAGGGTTTATCCAGGTCAGCCCAGAGGAGAGCAAACCTTCCCTCGTGCCAGCCTCAGGAAACAGTCACTTGCAATAATTCAAGAAGGTGAGATAGAAAAAAGGGGAAGATGAACTTATAGATCCAGCTTGGTCATCAAAACTATACCTCAGTTGTAAAAGCTAAATTCATGCAAGAAGAGTCTAGGGGACTGCATTGGCTAAATGTTACTGTCCGCACCATTAGCCTATGGGGCACACATCAAGTTCCAGATCTTCGTGTCGAAGCTGTTTGACCTGTGTGGGAAAAAACCTCCTCCACCCTTGGCAGCCAGGCACACACGAAAGCATTGAAGTAGAGGAAATCACGCAACAAATATTATCAAGTGGACAAACACAGAAGCTGTTGAGAGATCTTTGTTGACCAATAAAGGACAGGCCAAGAAACAGGTACACAAAGCTTTGTCTAGCATTACTGAGAGAGGTCCCTCTCAGGATTGATTGATCAAGATTGATCAAGCTGGACCAGGGAAAGCCAACTGGCTCAGAGGATGCAACATCCAGAAAAGCTAATTTTAAGTACCCTCTACCTTCTGCCACCATCATAGCCAGGCCCTGTACATGATACAAATCCAGAATGATTTCATTCTGTGCAAGAGTCTTACATGGCTGGGGATAACTCAGAAGTAAGCAACATTCAAGCATTCATTCCAAAATGTTGATGAAGCTCCACTGTGTTCAGTCCTGATGTAAGTCCAGAGCAGTCAATCCAGCGAGAAAGGGAGCATATTTTCTGCACCCAAGTTGTTCTTAGAAGCATAGAAAAGTAGATTAGAGTTTCAAAACAGCAGTGGTCAACCCAGTGGGAATGAACAGGAAGGGCTGACTGAGATGGGTCTACACCAAGAGGGAAGTAAGTTCAGCAAAGACTTGGTGGAGTGTGAATGAATCATAGTGAGTAATGAGGACAACAAGTGCAGAAGCAAAGGGACATACAAGGCCACCACAAGTGTGTGCAAGTGAGGGATTTGGTGTGGCTGCGATGTGCCTTAGGAGCAGGCTGATACAAAAGCAAATGATAACAGCAGAATGGTGGTTGGCATTTCTTGAGTGTTTTCCATGTAGTCAGCACTGACTGAAGGGCCGTAAGCACATTGTTTTATACAATTTGCACAACATGATTGCCCCACTTTACGGATGAGAAGACTGTCACATAATGAAGCTATCGTATTGCCCAAAGTCACACATTCCACAAGTGGTAGACCTGGGATTCAAATTCATGCCAGAGGGTGCCCTCATTACCTGTGGATTGTGGAGGTATGCAGGTCAGGGAATACTTCTGAACTCAACCATGCAGGCAGTGAAATGGCCAGGGAAGGGTTCCACACAGTCTTGGTTCTTGAAATTCTCTCAGTGTGTAAGGAGAAATGGGCACAGACCAAAGCAGTCAGCGTGTACACAGGCTCACGGCAGGAGGAGGTCTAGCCTCTGATCCAGAATGAGGGCAAATGAGTATTTATTTGATTGATGAAGGCTTCATGGAGCTGGTGTCATTTGTGTGGCGTCTCTGGAGAGAAGAGAAGGAATTTAGGCAGATGTCACAGCATATGCCAAAGCGAGAAAGCTGCAGGATGCAGATGTGGGCGCCTGCTGGCTGTGGAGTGGCACAGAGAACAGGTCTGCTGCTCAGAGCATATCTGTGGACTAGAGTCCAGAGATTGAAAGCTCTTCATGCGCTGGAGGCCTTCAAGGTGCTGCCAACAGGGTGTCAACTGTTGAGGATGCAACCCGTCCAAGAATCACCTGCACACACATTGGGCATCCTACAACTGAGTCGAGACCTAAGCACCCAAAAGGGTGAAGGCTGCTGGCAACAGAGGAGCTAAAGACTCAAGGAATATCTCTTCCCTCTTCTCCTGTCTCACTCTCTCTCAATCTCTCTCTCTCTCTCTCTCTCTCTCTCTCTCTCTCACACACACACACACACACACACACACACACACACACACACAGACATACACTTCCTTATACTGATAAATATGAAATGTAAGAAAACTCTCTGAAAACATCCTGACCAGACAAAGGCGCCGAGCTCACATCCCAGCTATCTGACCATCAGACATGTCTTTCGCCCATTGAGTTTCTACTGCCCGGTTTTTCTTGCTGTTTGTTTGGGATCACAAGACTCGGCTTTGGTCAATAGAGTGTGGACAGAAGAAAGTTACTTCCAGACCCCTTTAGCACATCCTTCTGATCTCCCTGTGACTTCTACGATGACTTTGGGAGACCATATGGTCCTAACTATAGGGCTAGATATGGGGATGGTTGCCCAGTTCAATAGGTCGGCACCTGATCAACACGCTTCATGTGTTCATTCATGGACATGTTGGGAGTTGTTTCCAGATGCAATACTGACTCTCCCTTGGATCAAATGCCTGGTGCTCAATCTAAAACCATCACCCTCTCCTCGAACTTGCCTAAAATGGGAGTGCCAGAGCCTCAGCCTGAGCCTATGAGAATGGGAATTGTACACAGAACCTAGAAATTACTTACATGTGATTCAGATGTTTCCAACCTTTCAGAAAGTTTGGCTGAGTAGAAGAGACCACTGGTTAGGGTGGGGGCGCAGAGGAGGGGCGATATCTTTCTAGGCCATAGTTCCCCCACTGTCGAACGGAGGAATGGTCACAGGAGGCAGGGATGCTGCCTAATGTAAGGTGTAAAAAGAATCAAACATGATAACTGATGCCCAATAAAAGCTAGTACTTAATAAGTGTTCATTTCATTCCTGCCAGCCAGGGGCCAGGTGCTGAGGTAAGGTTCTGACCTCCCAGTATTTTGATAGTAGACAACTTCTTCTTTTTAAAGATTTATTGATTTTTATTGGAAAGGCAGATATACACAGAAAGGAGGAAAGACAGAGAAGAAGATCTTCCGTCAGATGGTTCACTCCCCAAATGACCGCAACAGCCGGTGCTGAGCCAATCAGAAGCCAGGAGTCAGCAGCTCTTCCCGGTCTCCCACATGGGTTCAAGGTCCCAAGGCTCTGGGCTGTTCTCGACTGCTTTCCCAGGCCACAAGCAGAGAATGAGATGGGAAGCAGGGCCGTTGGGATTAGAACCGGCAACCATATGGAATCCTGGCACATGCAAGGTGAGGACTTTAACCACTACAGTATTGCGCCACGCCTGTCAACTTCTAAAAAATGATGTCAGTGGTCCCTGTCTCCCAAGTATCCAGGCACTTGTGTAACACTTTCTGCTCATGTGTGTGCTAGCCTAGAGTCATTATGGGCATGATGTTTCCCCATTCCAGACACCAGAAGCTGCAGGATTTCCTTTACTTGTGGATGCACCACTTCCATCACCATCTTCCCTTCTCACTGTCTTCTCCTTGTGTGTGTCTCACAAGGACTTCTGTCTTCAGATGGAGGGCTTCTGAGACAATATCAGGTGATCTCATCTTGAAATTCTTAACCACATCTGCAGAAAGTCCTTCTGCCCAGTGAGTTTCCACAGACAAGCCTGGGAAGCGGATATTTCTTCTGACACCACTGAAGCCCCAGTGGTATTCCGGAGAGGACAAGTCTCAGGGTCACATTCCCTGGCCCAAGGCCTGTCATGTAATGCATAGCATGAAGTAGGAATCTGGCTCGAGATTTTTGAATAGAAAGGCAGCAGTGCAGAACAGTTAAGCAACGGGTTTTAGAATTAGCTAAATGCTATTCAAACCTCAACCACTTTCAAACGATGTGACGTTAGGCAAATCACCTAACCTCTCCGAGCCTCACTTTGCTCCAGTGGGCATTTTAATCTCTCTCCTGTGTGTGTTGGGGGAAGGGGGCGAGGTTTAGTATGACGAGGCATGTCTGTTACCTACCAGAACCGCCACGTGTGGGCATCACCTGGCACACAGCAGCTGCTCAGAAGGGTCTTTATTCCCACTCACATCATTTTGGCTTCCCCCTCCCAATTCTCGAATCCCTATGCTGTGACTGTTATGAGGGCCCCAACTCCTGTTCAAAGAGGAAAGGTGGAGGGGAAGTCCCCAGGGCACTGATAGCCCTTCTTTGAGCCAGCTGGGGACAAAGTAGCCCCACACAGCAACCCTCCCCACCTCAGCCCCCGCCAGCCAGAAGCAGTTCTGGCAGGAAGCGAGCCTGGGCCCCTCATTGTTATTCCTGGCATGAGGTGATCCTGCCAGCATCCTCGGAGGCCCATAAAAATACCCACAGTTTGTCTTTCATCAGAGCAGCTCAAAGCCACATGGCATCCTCCCGAGAAGCGCGCACTCCCAGGCAGGTTCTGCGAGCCCACAACTTCCCAGGATGGTCTGGTATGTGCGGGACCCAGGGAGTGAGTGTGAACTGAAATAACCCAGCTGGCCACTGGCTTGAGGACCACGTGCCTCCAGGCCACTAGAGATACAACAGGTTTTGTGTGCAGAAAGATGCTTTCTGGGGTTTTCTGGATGTTAGTACTCTAGTCACAGGCAAAGGAGCTCGCATGCCCCCTTTCTGCCATCACAGCACCTTGCATAACCAACTGAGCTGCACTTGTGGCTCTTCTGAGACACAGCTGGGCATAATAATATCCACAGGGTTGCTAGGGATTAGAATGGGTCTTTCAGGTACAGAATGGAAAAAGATATTTGCAGCTCATGTGTTTGACAAAGAACTTGTGCCTACAATATATAAAGAACTCTAGCAACTCAATAATAAAAGCTAGGAGCCAGCATTGTGATGCCATGGCTTACGTCACTGCTTGTGATCCGCTCTCCCATTCTGCAGTGTCACTTCAAGTACTGGCTGCTCCACTTCCAATACAGCTTCCTGATGATGAGTCTGACAAGGCAGCGTGTGGTGGCACCTGTATTCAGGCCCATGCCATCTTTTTTTCTAACATTTATTTTTGGAAAGGCAGATGCACAGAGAGGAGGAGAGACAAAGGAAGATCTTCCATCTGCTGATTCACTCCGCAAGTGACTGCAACAGGCAGTGCTGTGCTGATCCGAAGCCAGGAGCCAGGAACTTCTTTCCAGGTCTCCCACATGGGTGCAGGGTCCCAAAGCCTTGGGCTGTCCTCGACTTCTTTCCCAGGCCACCAGCAGGGAGATGGATGGGAAGTGGAGGTGCCGAGATTAGAACTCGTGACCATATGGGATCCCAGGGCGTTTAAGGCGAGGACCTTTACCATTATGCTATCATGCCGGCAGGCCCCTGCCATATTTATGGGAAGGAAGGATGTGGCTCCTGGTTCTGACTTGAACTTGGCCCAGATCTTACCATTTAGGGAATGAACCAGCAGGTGGGAAATACACCTATGTATGTGTGTCTCTGTCTTTCCTTCTCTTTGTTGCTTTGCCTTTCAAATAAAAAAAAATAAGTCTTGAGAATAATAAGAGACAAATGACCATCCCCCTCAAGGAAGAATAAGTCTTGAACAGACACTTCACAAGAGATGCTATATACAGGAGCTAAACGAAAAGCTGTGCAATGCCAGGAGCCATCAAGAAAATGCAAACTATAACTGATGTTAAATACTATTTCATCCACAGCAGGAGTGGCCACAATGAAGAGTGTCAATCCCAAGTGCTGACGAGGGGTGAGACTCTCAGACACTCCTACTGGGAACAGAAAGTGACATTTTGCCACTTAGGAAGACTCGAACAGTCATTTAGACAGCTCAACGATGACTCAGCACAGGACCCAACAACTCCACTCAGGTGCCTTCTCCAAGACACATGTCCATGAAACTCTTGTTCATAAATAAATCTTTACTCGTCATCAATGGAGGCTGTTGAGCAGGAGACAGAAGGACAGAGTGCACAGTGCCTGGCAGCGGGCCCGAAAGGAGCGATCAGAGCTGCTGAGATGCTCTGAAGCACCAGGCCCGGAGAAGGAGGCCAAAGTGATTCCGGCTGTAAGAAGTCGTAGCATGGAGACACACGGATCTGGGGTAGCAGGAAATCATGTGGCAGCTGCCTGGGTGTGGGGGTCAGGAGGAGGCAAGGCATATCCTCACGAAATGTACCAGTGTTCAGCATCGGGGAATGGGACATGGATGTGCATATCTGTGAAACACACCCAAGTCTGCACTGAAGATCATTACATTTGGGTTTTCTAAACATGTGTTCATTTATTTATTTATTTCAAGGCAGAGAGGCAGAGAAATCTTCCATGTGCTGGTTTGCTTCCCCAAAGGGCTGCAACTGATCCAGGTGAAAGCCAGGACCCTGGCATTGCATCTGGTCTCAGCCAGGTCTCAGGGCCCGAGAACCTGCGCTGTCTTAGCTGCCCTCCCAGGTGCATTAGCAGGGAGCTGAGTCGGAAACCGAGCAACTGCGAATTGAATCAGTGCTCCCATACGGCAGTGCAGGCAGCAGTTTAGCACATGCTGCCACGATGTTGGCTTCCTCTTTGCATTGCCTTCTGTGCAAATGATGTCTCAACTACAAAAGTGTTAATGGGGAGGGTTTAGGGAGAGGACTGAGCAAGGCGGCTGAGCTGTTGGAAGCCAGTGTTTGTCAGTAACTACAGGAAGATTGTTTGAAAAAGAAAGCAGTAAG